CACCTGTTTTAGGAGGTGGGGCCCGGGGCCTTTTGGCCTTGGGTTGTGAACGGGGCCTCTGTTGAGGCGTTCTCTCTCTAGGAGTTCGTGGAGTAGGGGTGGAGACGCGAGCAGGAGCAGACCTACGCCTCACAGGTTTGATGCTTTTGGCTGACTTTGCCGTGGCATCCGCAGAAGCTGCCTTTAGGCTCTGCCGACGAATGCGATGGCTCTTCCTTGGAGGTGCGCTTTCCAGCTCCTCCTTGAGCTGCCGTTTGAGTTGCCACCTTCTTTCCCGTGCCTCCCGCTTCCTCTCCTCCTCTTCCTCCTGTTGCCGCTCCTCCTCCAACTGCTTCCTCCCCCTTTCCGTTTGTGCAAACCACAAGCGGAATACACGGCCAATTAGGGCACGGCGGCGATGCCACAGTGCCGTGAACATGCGGTCCTCGTCGCGCAACTGCAGCTCCTGCGTGCTAGGCGACAATTGGTCTCCTGCAGCGGACGACGAGCGCAAAGTGCGGCCACTGCGCGTAGTGACTTCATAGCATTGGCTCTTAATGGCACTTAGCGTGCTACGCAGCAGCTTCAAGTCACCCGTCGCATTATCATTCAGCACGTAGTCATCGCATAAGTAGCAGTATACATACAATTCATTCACCTCCAGGGCCAAAGGGTGGTGCTGGTCCTACGAAAGAATAAACTTCAGAACGAATACAACATCGAAGAAATAGTTTTATAAAATCTGACAATAGGGTAGATCTTTTTTTTTATATAGATATTCACGTTTATATCTAAAGGTGAAGTGTGTAATTTCAAGATCAACTACCTCATCATCATTTAAACATACCTTAAAGTGCTGAAGCGCATGTTCTTCTATATAGCGTCCACACGCTACATGCGAACAGCTGAGACATGCCCACACCGACTCGGTGGTGTTGCAGTCCATACAGTGCCATTTCTGCGGGTTCAGGATCGAGTGGTCCTGCGAGAGCCTTAAGCGATCCACGTGCTTACACCTGTCCATCACAGTCAGTCACTGCCGTCTTCACATCACCATGGTGACGACAGCCAGCAGTGAAACCAGCTCCTCCCAAGGCATGATGGTTAATCTGCAGAAAAACAAAAAAATGGATCAGATGGGAATGTGTGCTTTTTTGCAGACGCATGCTTCATTCGTGACATTAATTCTAGTCATCTAGTCATGTTCAAAAGTATGACAGTAAAGACGCTTACATCGTTTAAAATTTCTAATAACTGCTGTTTGTTTGAACTTTCTATTAATCAAAGAACACTAAAAATGTACTGTGGTTTCCACATGCAAATCGGCATATTAGAATAATTTCTGAAGGATCATGTGACACTGAGGACTGGAGTAATGATGCTGAAAATTCAGCTTTGCATCACAGGAATAAATGACATTTTTAGAAAACGGTTCTTTTAAATTGTGATAATATTTCACACTATTGTTTTTATCAAATAAATGCAGCATTGGTGAGCATAAGAGACTTGTCTTAATTCAAAAACCTTACCACAAACTTTTGAACGGTACTGTATGCGCCATTGTTTAGTGTCTTCAATGTTTTGTGAAATAGCAATCCCCTATCAATTGAACCCTGATATACACACAGTGTACATGAGGATATATAAATAAGACAGCAGTTTAACAGAGCCATCATAAAACTATTGCACAAGAACACGGTTGAGCCAATACTATAGGAGGAAGAATCTATTCCCGCCAACTCACACTCACACACAGACACAACAAGAATGATCACATAAAAAATAACAACCTCTGTACTTCTCCAACACAGTAATACCACGGTAGGGTGAAGTACACCATGATACTGAGTGATTACTGTATTCAGGTACTTCAAAGCAATTCAAAGAGTTTAAATGGTATGTCCAATATATATATACACACACACACATACATGCACAGTATTACACACAGACACAAAGGTAGTATCAAAAGTAATACCATGACACTACCATGTTACGTAACCAAACGAAATGATCATAGTCTGTATATACACATAGCAACTCTGAATTATCACATTCAAATAACATGGTATTTATTCGTCACTCCAAATATATGTACCACAGTATTTACATGGCATGCCAGGCATGTACCATAGTGCTGTGTCTACAAAACACGACAGTATCATGGTGCTTTAAAGAATACCTGCAATTTAAATCTAAACCAAGGCATCAATTTCAAGCCTGTAAACATCAGCACGTAATTAGCTTAGCATGTAAACAACCCGGCTTAAGCACATGTATGTCCTTTATTTGGCTCCACAGACGCCTGGTTATCTGTGTCACTACCAAAATAACAACCCTCTTTCTCTGGGCCCCACGTGTGTTTAACAGAAACAAACTAGCAGTCACCCTAGAAATACAGCTTGGTTATCATTAACCTTGTTTAGAAAGTTAAATGCGCGTACAGAACATCGCTATTGTAAATGGCTTTGTACAAGTTGTTAATGCACAGACATGGGTTGTCTTTATCGCTAATGGTTTTACTCGAATTCAAGTCTGGGATTGTAATTAACCGAGGATGGACAAGCATATTGATCTCATTCAACTAGTTAAAAACTATCAGTTTGACTTTGAAGGGGTTTAGGCGCGCGAATGGTGAATGATGCTAGGTGCTAACTACCTCCTTCGCCTAACGTTACCTAGTTTCAAAGAGCTAACCAGGTTAGCAGCTGAGCCCAGAGCGGCTCAGCTAGTTTAGTGTCTCTAATCAGCCTGTTATGAAGAGGAAAGTTAACCAGCACACGGGATGCTAGTGCGCTAATGCTAAAATCACACAGAAGTGAGGCTGAGGCGCTGGGAGATTGAAATACACTGGTCGAGATTGATTTCCGCCGCTAGCGTGAACGCGATAAGATGGGAGCTGTTTGAAATCAGTGATATTCCACTCACCTGGTGTTTCGCCAAGCGCTGGTTACTTCTGTGGCACAACAGCGAGCGCCATCTTGTCTGCGCTACACTTGTCGCGTGGAGTGTCCCTCCGTGACGTCACGCCCGAGCGAGGGGACACGCGAGTCGCTTTAACGCAATCTCTTAAAATAAAAAGAGAGTTCAGAAACCATAAGTGAATGCTGTGAACCAGTTCAAACCGTGTCAGCGGTGTCTAATGTTTAGTCGGAGTCACCGCAACACTTTCACCATCTCAAATCTCACTCGCGTGGAAACGAAAGTGCAGTAAAAACTAAAAATTCCACGTAATATGTAAAAAACAAATCATCTATCTACTTGATTTTTTTTTTTGTAAGAAGAACTTCCTTCTATTCCGCATAATTATGTAAAAGAGTAGCTGATGAATGCATTCCGCAATGTAAATACTGCTAGTCATGTGAGTTATTCATTCGTTTAAACATTAAAATGTAATATATGATTATTAAATTAAATACGATTGAAATCTTCGTTCATATTCTTCGACTTGGTGGGCGTTATCATATTATTTTTCCACTTTCCTCGTAAATTAGAACTGCGTGAGTACACACGGGAGGCGTAATGGAAGTACTTTACTTACTTTACTTTTACTTTTAGTCATTTAGCAGACGCTTTTATCCAAAGCGACTTACAAATAAGGAAAAGTAATTAAAACTGAAAGCTAAAAGCTTTTAAGAAAATAAAAGGAATTAAATCAAAATTACAAATGCATACAACAACATTTCAAAACTAAAACATTTAAATGAAACCAAAAAAATAAAGCTAAAAACAATTCAAACATACACATATAAGAAAAAGTAATTAAAACTGAAAGCTAAAAGCTTTTAAGAAAATAAAAGAAATT